GCCCATCTGAGCCAGTATCTGATTTTAGGTCCAAGGTTGCTACGTTTTTCTTGCGACCATTAACCCCCACTCAGTCCATGGACTGGCTGGCTTGGACGGGACACCTGCACCTTTGCTGGGTGACCCCAGGCATCTGCCTTGCCCAAGCTGGTTTTCCTCTTCTCACTTTCTGCTCTTTGTGCATTTACACCATGGAGGAGTTGCTTGGCTCTTTATTTCCAACACAAGTCCTGAAGACATTTAAAAGCTAGAGAAACCCACAGCAGGGAGTAATCCCTGCAAAGCAGCTGGGTGCATCACTGGACATCCTGAACCTGTTCCAGCCTCTCCCAGGCTCCTCTCTGCACTCACCTGCAGCTGCCAGCTTTCCTCCTCCGTCACCATAACTGTCTTTCAGGGCCTCGCTATTGTCTCTTCCTTGGTTCTGGCTTCCATCAAGTCCATCCCTAGATTACCAGACACTGCTCTGAATTTGCCTCCAGCTGAGGCTCAAGCTCTCTCCCTTCTGCATGGGAACCTAAGCTTGTACAGGTTAAGGAATGAATCTCAGCAGCTCTTAAAATTATACCAGAATATTCTGTGATAGTTATGTTCCTTGTGCAGTCTGTAATAGTTTGGAGGTCAGAAAGCCAGAGGCATCCAAGGATCTCTAAGATTTTCAAATATCTAAGTTCTAGCTCTGGCCCAGTCAAGAGGTCTGTTACCAGAACAAACATACTACATGGTTAAAATGGAAAGAGCTAGCCATACAGATACCAACACCCGCCCCCCCCCCAGACTTACAAAATAATTTTTTAATTGCTTCATTCATTAAAATATAATTCACTGAATAAAAATATTTCTGAATATGATGAGTCATTTACATTTTAATCTTTTTGTTTCCAGAAAATCCTTGGCTTAAGGGGTCAGACTTAGCAGATAAGAAACTAAATAATTTGCTGATTCAACTTCAAATGATTACAAAGGCATTTTACTTAACAGCTGAAAGCATTTAAGTGAATTTTGTGTAACAATACAATTGTGGCATAATAGATTAGATGCAGCACTTTCTCTCTTATTGAAAGATAAATTTCATAAGCTAGAGTCCTTCAGAATAAAAAACACAAAGAATGAGATAACAAAGGTCTAGAAAAGGGAAATAAAAAAGAAAATAATGCATAGAGACTCAAAACCCAGAAGTTAGAACACAAACTGAAGGAGAACCAATCAGATTTTCACATCCTGCAGGCCAGTGGATCTTTTGATCCAGTGAAGAGTAACTAAATGCTGTTACTAAATGATTCTGACTAGATAATCTATATAACCTTAACTTTACCATGAGGGACTAATCTTCAGCATATAGTTTCACTATAAGTTTAGCAGTGATTATTTGTGATGCTGTTCTGCTGTCACAGTTTTATTTTTTTCAACTCCAGTGATAGCTGCATACAGATACCCTCTGACTTTTAGATATGGAACTAAACTCTCTGCCTCTACAAGGAGGCATGTAACTCTTAGACTATAATAAGAATGCTAATCTTAGCTAAACCTTTAAAAATAAAAACAGATGATGGGGAATATCCTGCTGGAATAGGCATTCAAGAAAACCAGCTGTTTCTCAACCTTCTTGGGACGTAGCCACACCCAGACTTGTTCAATCTGTTTGGGCTCAAACGAAGACACTGCCCAAGAACAATTTCTTGAATACGTAATGCACTTGCTTGAAGAGATTCTCTACTACAACAGGAAGCATTTATCTGAGCCACACACAATTAAGTAGGGCATTATCGAAAGCTCTCCTACATGAGAAAGTGAAAAGTCCAGAACAATTAAGCATCCTCAGCAGTATGTTAGTGATACCCAGACAGTCTGCTGTAGGTGTTCGCTGCCCATGTTCTCTGCTATGCTTAGATCCCTGTCATGGCTTCTCACCTACTTTAGCCCAGCAGACACCCTGCATTCCAACTATTGAAATCACAAAGCTTGGCTCTTCTCCAACTACATTGCCTTTCATTGAAATGAATTTAAGTAAGGTGAGAACCTTCTGTTTGAATATACCTGTTTCAAAAAGTAGCCCAATATAACCAATACACTGTAAGAGGTGAACATTCCCTGCCTCCTATGTCTTGCCATCGTCCCATTCCTCAGGGGTAACCCCAAGACTGAAGTGTACTTTTTCAGATCTTGCTTCCATGCCCAGCTAACACATACCTTTTTTATAGAAATGAGACAATTCTATATATAGACTTCTATATATAGAAGACTATATATAGACTTGCTTTTTCATTCCTAATTTGAAAATGAGAAATGAATGTCTGCTTACTGAAAGAGTGGTGAATTAAAGGGGAAATATAACATGTTCCAAGACATTTTAGATTCTAGAAGAAAAAAACTTGGATAAACCACAAATCAGCTATTGTTCTACATGGATTCAAACTTTTTTTTCTGTGCTATGTTTGACTCATTTTCTTCTAGGTTCAGAGAAGCAAAACACTAAGCCTTAATAAATGCCTACCATCAAATCACAGTAGACACTGTAGACAGCCTTACATTATGGCTCTTCTGCTGTCCACAGCTAGTATCTTCTAGTGTAAACAGCTGTTGAAATGCAAATACTATTTTGGACAATATATTCTATTTAAAGGAACAGAATATATTCAGTATTTAAAGTATCCCACATCTTTCGGTACTTGACCACATGTGAAATAGCAACTCCTGAGTGCCCTTCCTACCTTGTAACCAAGGGAACTCTCTAGCCAAGTCTTGAAAGGTGTGTAGGTTTAAGAACATTTGAGAACACACCAACATAAGTCATTCCATTTCTAGTTGTTTTCATGTATGGTTAAAAAAAACTAAAGAATATATTTTAAAGTCCAGGAAATATAAAATACATAGTTCAACAGTAATGCCTTCTAAGACTGGAACAGTGAAAACAGACCCATTCCTGATCACCAGCCTCATTGCCTGAGGTTGCCAAGGTGTAAGAACTCAAATAGGAGTTCAATGCCCCCCCACCCCCATGAAAATCATGAGGCAGGTATGCATGGCATCCATGAGTTAATGTTGTTTTCATCTATCTATCTTGTTTAGCTGCTTTTCATAGCAAATATAAGGTTAAGAAGAAGTTTGCTGAAGCCTTTAAATAAAATGATATTACTACAGAAAGGACTGGATTTTAATGCTGACATACCCAGATTTACAACTGACTCTTTCACCCTGGAGTGACAAACCAGACTTGCTCACCTTCTTTTAATAACTTTAAAAATGGGATGGTTGACTGTATTTACCAACCCTGTCATTTCTCAACATAATTATAGCCTACATCCTGAATAGAAAGTTGTTTTTAACCTATGCAAACAACACAACTGAAAGAGAATGAATACCTTCTCCTCCCCTCCCATCCTTTGTTTCTCCACCCATCTGCTAGCCAGCAGGGATCTTTTAATGTTTCTCCACATATTATAATTGTGTCATCTTTCATAAATGACCTTAAGTGATTCCACTGCAATAGTGTTTGACATACTGTGCAATATTTTTAGACGGTTATTGTGAAGCAATGATACTTATTCTTATCATAAAGCATAATATCTTTCAGAAAGAGGTTATCATGTTCTTAGTAAATTATATTACTAGAGTTCTATATGTACAAACATCCAAGGGCAAGTCCTGATATTGCAATTAATCTTTTACATGAGAACACCATTTGGTCAAAACCAACCTACTTGTTCTGTTCACAAAATTAGTTAAATTTAAGAATCTCAAAACGTTTTCAAATTTTAGAAAGTTAGTGTATTCCCCCCAGTGTGAAATAAAGTACTTGGGCAGTGAAAATACTACTAGCTTTAACTATTTGTATCATAAGTAAAGATACTACACTTTATACTGAATTACCCCACATTTAAATGCCTGGCTTTCATGCAATTTGCTTGGGAAAAGTATGTTCACCTGAGTCTAAGCTTATATTTGCTTTCTTCATGATGCTTCAGAAATGCAGACAAAATAATCAACTCACACTTGGTTTAAACAAATTGTAAAAATTTTTCATTTAAAACTCTTTCTAGGGCCCTCCCTGGTGGCACAGCAGGTTAAAGTGCAACACTAAGAAGCTAACGCCACTTCAGCATGAGTTCGATCCCCGCCTGCTCCAGAGGTGACCCACATGGAGCGGCAGACCTCTCCTGACCCGTCCACTGCTCCCCTCAGCAGTGTACTTCATTAGTTGTCCTGTTCTGCTCCCCACTCTGTCTCTGGTGAATCTTCTCACAGCCCCTGCACCTCTGGCCTATAGCCCAGTCTGTATACATAAATAAATCTTTTTAAAAAAAAAAGTCTTCCCAATTTTCATCCTAGAACCCTCAAGTATTCTAAGAACAAATAACATAGCAAATCCAGGAGAAGCATCAATGTAAGCATAGAACAATCCATTCTTTAAAACTCTGGGAACTTCCATCCTGGCCCCAAATCTAGACTTAGCCTCTCACTCACTAAGTTAAGTGGCAGTTATTAATAAATCCCAGTAAATGACACTTACTACTAATAAGTCTATCCCTTTGATGACAAGACTGCCTTCTAACATAACTAAAGCTAGTAGGCTTTAAATTTCTCAGGACACTGAAACCTGATTATAAAACAACAAAATGTGCATTGTTGATGTGCTGGCCTATCCAGAAAGCCTGGCCACTCTATCTGCAATTAGAACTGAATAAAAATAATCACTATAGTGGTCCCAGCAATAACAGCAGTTAACATTAATTGAGGGCACTCTGTGCCAACTTCATTTGTTTCATTTAATGCTCAGAATAACCCTTTTCAGAAATATCGCCTGATAAAAAATGATGCTTCAGGTAGTTATTGTGTGTTTCCCAATAGGCTATCACCATGTGTATCTGAGATAAAATTCCAGCTCTTTACCCTCCTTCACCCCTCTGGTAGTTTCAATTTTATAGTTTTCTTTTACAAAGAAAAACAGATATAAACCAATAAAATTAATGGTTGAATTGCATTATATATTAAATGCTCACCTGTGTAGGACCAGCCAATCTCTTCAACAAGTTTTCTCTGCTGTCTGTAGTATCCATAGGCCCAATCTATAACCAAGAAAAGTCAATTGAATATGTATAAAAATATATGTATCTCAGTAAAAAATACATAAGATCCCTAAATCATCATCCCCAAAGACTCTCCATCACTCCTTCCATTATACTGACACAAATCTCTCAACCACAACCACCATCGTTACAGATTTCATTACACTGTTCTGGTTGTTAGTAGAAATTTTAGGGGCACCCCTAAAGAATTCTCTGCCTGGAGTTCAGACAGAGAATATTCTGATAAAGCGGGAGCAACATGAAGGGGTTCATCTCAAAGAGAGAATGGGACTGTAAGGGGTAGCTTGCTCCAACTTCAAACATCTAATTATTCCTTAATCCTAACACCTGAAATTCTATTGACTAGAGGTATTTGGTGTTTACTACCAAGTTTTATCTGTCAGTTTCTAGAAAACCTAGAATTTATCATGTATCACCAGCCCTTCACGTCAGAATGGACTTAACATTAATAATCCATTCAGCTACACTGCGGGTAAAATAAATTACTTGGAGCTAGGTTTGGAACCTGATTGTTGTTGAAAGAACTATTTCTGTCAAAAAGATTACAAATAGCTAGTTTACAAATGAAACTGTGGAACATTACTTATTCATAAATTCAGGTTCTGTCACTATATCTTTCATTTGAATGCAGGGATTTAATTACATCAACCCATCCCACTCCACCCACAGCAAAGTGTGGCCTATATAAATTTCTCATTAGTTGAGAAACTATTTCTTTTAATTCTCACAACACAGTTGTTCTCTCTTTATTGACAGTTCCCAGCTGCAGAAATGGGACATTTTATAAATTTTTTCCCTCTCTCCCACATGAATACAATATGGCAATAAATAACTGCTCCACTATTTTATTAAAACTAAAAAGCAGGCCAGTCACCAGAAATACATATTCTGAATTCATAGATTGTTCAAAATCAAAACCTATCTGAGAGAATAATTTTACTACCATAAATACAGGTAAATATTCCATTAGACATGTAGCACATGTCAGCACAGATTTGCCTTTATACAAGTATTACCACAATATGACTTCCACATCATACTGTTCACCCATTAATGTGCACAATTTAATGGCTTTTGATATACTCACAAAGCCATACAACCATCACTATACACAATTTGAGGATATTTTCATCTCCCTTTAGCTATGACCTCCAACCCCAACTGTAGAGTCCCTGGATCTATAAACAGGGACACTTTAACTTCACATAATTAATGCTTTTGAGGTTCATCTATGTTGCAGTATGCCCTTCATTCTTTTTGTCAAGCAATATTCTGTTGTATAGTGGTTAAAATGGCCTAGAAGTTTCTCTTAGCTTGACTGACATTTAGATAATCTCTTTGACTATGCACCTGGCCTCCTTTTTTAGAACATTTTGTTTAGAAAACCCACCATTGTAAATTATTTCTCTGTTATTTTTATAAAAATTTTGATAGTTCTATAACCAGGAAGGACCTGGAGCCACCTCTGAAATAAAATCATGAAATGAAATAGCATCCCCACCTTCCAGAGTCTGTGGGAAGGTAGAAGCGTAGTTTTGGTGGTGGTGTGGGGGAGGGGAGCTCCCGCTAAGCTATAAAAAATGCCTTCTGTCATAACGATATGAGCTTATCTTTCCTTTGGACAAAGCCAGTTAGTAAACACACATGGCCAATGGACTCTCCCTAACATCTTGCGATACTTCATCCACTGCGGTTCAGCCCAACCTTTAAAAATCGTTCCTCTTACTTCCTCTTTGGAGTTGAGTTCATACTGAGTTTTGAATTTTCTCTTCTTTGAAATAGTCTTGAATAAAATTTTCTTTGCTTGTTTAATGTTGTCTCGTCCAATTTTTGAAAATTGATGCACTACATTTTATTTACCCATTTATCAACTGATGACTACTTGGGTTGGCTCTTTTTTTGGTTATTTTGAATAATGCTGTATTAACATTCATGCATATGTTTGTTTTTTTCCCTCAGTATCAAAGATTCCCTGTGGGTCTGTTAATCCTAAGCGGCCTATCCAGCCTTCATTTTGTTATCCAAAGTTTTGTATTCCTAAAGCAAGGTTAGAACTGCCTGGTCATAGGAGCCCAACTCTACAAGGTGACTTTGAAATCAATTAACAGCATAAACCAGGGCCCCAGAAGCTGATCAGTGACCAGTGAAATGCCTTATTGATAAGACTGAAAACCTGACTGGGGAGTCGAGGCTTGATCTACCAAGCTATAGCTGATACCAAGCTATCAGCAGATGAGAAGTACAGTTCCACATTTCCCTGCTTCTTCTACTTCTCCCTGTCTTTTTCTGCCTCCTCATATGATTAATGCTATATGACTAGTTTACCAATAGAAAGGCCATGATCTAGCTTTTGAGCAGCACACTGCATTATGTAGCCTGCTCCATGACTCCTGTCTATTTTTATCAGTGTGGCATTGCCCGACACAAAAATTCCTAATAATCTTGAGCTACTGGTTTCTCTATTAATGTACTTTATTTGCGCAGGAGCCCTTATAGCATGTATGTTTTCAAGAGAAACAAAAAAAACCAAAGCAGAATTATTTGGACAATAAATTATGGTAACCTGGCAAATACTTTGCCAAAATGAGCACTCTGATGGTTTTCATTCATGTCCTTTTTAAAATTTAGCAAAAATGTGCTATTTTTATTTATCCTATTTTGTGTTTATCAAAACTTTAATTTTGATTTCCATTGAGTAAAAAGAAAAATAAAGTTTATATATATATATATATATATATATATATATATATATATATATATAAAATCACACATACATTTGTCCATATGAAGTTCTCAGGATAAGGGCAAGACAGACTAGACTGAAACAGAAATGCTTAAGGTTACCTGAATAATGTAAACTAAATTTATCTCAATTTTGGTAACAGGTCAAGAAGTCACCTCATGAGAAAAACTTTACAAGACAAATTTTAGAGCAGTCTTTTAAGAAATATTTACTAGTTTATATTTTTAGTGAGAGCATCACATGTAGAATTCATTCCTGAAATGCATTTTTAAATGTTATCATCATAAAATACACCAAAACAGACCTGGCAAGTACTTTTAAATGGAAAGAAACAAAATAAATGAACTAAAGGGACCAAAATCCACAAACCAAAAAAACAATTTATTATGTCATTGTTTTAATTGATTTACAAAGTGTGAGCACTTTGATAGTTTGTATTTAATATAGGATTTACTGGTTCTTCAAGTACATAATGCAGCGAAAAAGTGAACCTAGCTTCCTTTTTTCTTGTTCATTGGAGCTATCACATCTCATCTATCAGACCTCTAAGCAGAATTTTAAAAGTGGGGTACTCTCTCACGCCCAAGGACTATGTAATTAGCATATGAATGTGTAACGGATTGTTTGAAGTAACAATTAAGGGAACAATGCATAAAGGAACTGAAGAGAGCTACCAACACCTGGGAATCACTTATTGAAAAAAAGCTTTTCTTAATGTAAGTAATTAGAACCAAGGACAAATGCGTATTGTGCGGTGAGAAAGCTCTACAAGGAAAGCTAAAATCTGTTGATAGTTTGCTGCCATCTTTTAAACGGAATCATTAAAACAAGAGCTTACTGTTTTGTTCAATTCAATGGAATACTTGTTAAATGTAGGTTTCAGATGCTCTTTGGTCTTCCAAAAATCATCAAAATGCATTTCTATCACAAAAATATCTTACATTTAAAAAATATTTATATCTAAAACATAAAGATAATAACATTTTCCTCTTCGTTCAGTGCAAAGTTTAGTGAAACTTTCCAATTGATGACCAGATAAAATCAGGTGCAGGATTATTTAGTGCTCATTTTTCTAAAAATATAAACAGTTGAATTCTAAAAATGCCTCTGATTTTACCCTTGCCCTAAAGAAAGTCTCTGTTCTATCCTGCTCAATAATTTAGCAACTTCACCCTTCTATACCATCTTACAGCAGTGCTTTGAAAAGTACACACATGCACACATTTTCCTTTGAAGGGGAACTTTTTACAAAATTGATGCAATTTTGCATTATAATATCATACAATAAAATTGACTATATCGTTGAAAATTGAAATATATGTATATGACATTAAATTCACCTCTAAAAGCCCACTATACCGTCCAACCATACCAATTGTCCACTTTATCGCTCTGACCCACACACAAAACAGTGACAAGGAAGAGTAATAGTGTTAGCCTCTTAAGCAGAAACTTCAGGTAGAAAATAATCACAGATAGAAGCTTGAAGGTTAAGATTCTACAACTAGATTTCTCAAAGTACATTTTTCCAAGGTACATAATATCTGCATGTTTTACATCTTTTAAAAAATCACTGGCAAACTTCATTGGAGGAAAAAAAGGAACTCACTGAATCGTAAAAATCTGTAAGGAGAAGGCATAGAATTAGAGATGCACTTTTAAAGTCCTTAGAGTAAACCGAGCAGGACAGACTTGGGGGAAGGAACTAAGATGGCGCAGGTAGAGAGAAGACGTGTTGTGCATGCACCACGGGTTTGAGATCCACTTGGCCTGCTGTGGGATCTCACAAGTCTCTGCAACTGATTCTTGGTGACAGATTGCAAGGATCTCATTGGTTTTCATCATACACCGACCTCTTACATAGAATTCCTTTAAAAATGGGGAGGAGACAGTTTGCTGAGTTGACTGAAGATTTGAGCAAGGCCAGCAATGCGGAGGGTGAGAGGATTCACCAGGGACAGAGTGGGGAGCAGAACAGGCAGATCAACGAAGTACACTGCTGAGGGAGTAGCGGGCAGGTCAGGAGAGGTCTGCCTCGCCTTGTGGATCTCCTGCCATGTGGATCTCCTCTGGGGCAGGAGGGAACCAAACTCATGCGGAAGTGGCTTAAGTGTCTTAGAGCAGTGTTTTAACCAGCTGCGCCACCAGGGAGGGCCACATTTTCCTTTTTAAGTCTTTAATATTTATTTTCTTACGCCTCTGTCAATTTTGGACAGCATTTGATTTCTTCCCTCAG